ACCTATGAAAAAATGTGCCAGCTTAATTGTCAATCCAACTTCATTTTATCTTAATGTTCTGTTAACAATCTATACAAGCCCTTTTCCCCCCCATGTGCATAACAATGTACTGTCAAAAGGGGAGCAAAGGGGTTAAAATACTTTAACAGCTCTTGCGTCTGATTGGATGCAGTTGCTGTTCAACCCGACAACTTTCCGTCTGGCTCTTTCAATTTGTCAATCAAGGGATGTCGGGCGGGAAGTGGCAGACAGGGCCATCCACTCAGTGACTTTTAACTGGTTCATGAAGAACCGCCTGATATTTGCTTAGGGTGCTCCCCAACACAGCACAGACAGCAGTAAAAGCCTAACAAAAGTTTTAACCTTTTCCTATTCTATCGCAACATGAAAAATGTCTTAAAGCCCATTTCCACCTTTGCAGAGGTATTTTTTTTAAAACATGCCATTATTGTACACCGAGTGTACATGAAGCAGGCATATGCAGTTGCTGTATATAAACATAGAAACTTACATTCTGTATTAGCATTCCTCTTCATATGCTCATAGAAATGGCCACCTCTGTGCTCAGCAATTGAGCTCTCTCTGAGCTCTGAGCTCCCTATTCATAAGTATTCATAGTGGCAACCCCCCCCCCGGACAGTATATTGTGTGCAAAGGCAGAGCTGGTGTTTACTGATCGTGTTAAAATGAATAACAAGGAGGGGGAGAGTTGTTTACAGCCTGCTTTACATCAGACCCCGGTGACAGACTTTCCTGTGGAGAAAACTTTGAATTTCTAGCATTTAAGCCTAATAAAACATTCATAAAAATGAAGAAAGCCTGCCATGTAAGTCATGAAAATGTGCACATGTATACATCATCACTGCACCTCTACATTACCACAATCAATGCTAATCACTTACAAAGGTGGAAATGGACTTTAAGTTCTATTTTAATACCACACACATCAGAAATTGGCAGTTTTGCCATTTTTGTATTTGTTAATAACAAAATGGTATATGTTGCAATTCCAAATAAATCTGATTCTCCTATGTCCACAGCACACCTAAAGAAAGTGTGTAGAGGGTGGGGCCTGCTAGGCTCCTCCCACAGCTCTGCTCTCAGCACAGACTATGTGCAGCACAGTGATGATGTCACTGCTACTTTTATGAGGTAGCAAAGACATAATTGGGTTTGCAAAGGCTTTTTTTGACACACAAAGTGGATTTATATCCTTTGTAGCTATTTTGGTATATATTTAAATCAAGTGTAGGCAAACTTTGGCCCTCCAGCTGCTGCGGAAGTACAAATTCCATTAGGCATTGCAAGACTCTGACAGCCACAGACCTGACTCCCAGAGAGGATTTGTAGTTTTTACCACAACTGGAGGGTCGGAGTTTGCATACCCCTGATTTAGATGAATGGCTGGAGTTCACCTTTAACAAGTTCACGCTTTAAAGGGCTAGCATGCTTTATATTTACAGAAAAAACATGGCATATGTTACCAAATGTGATAAGGATGGAACTTACCAACTCCTTTTACTGCACGATGTCTGGTTGAGTAACATCCGTATTTGTGAGTAACATCTTCCAGTTCTGGAACACAAGGCTGAACTTGATATTGAAATCGGCACTCGGTGTTTAGAGGTTTTGGGATTGCTTTTCTGCAGTCAGGTGGAGTGTCATATTTAATTCGATACCCTGTACGTGATAATAGATGCATGTAAATTGTTATGAATGGCAATACACATATATCACAACTTTTAGACAGTTACAAATACGACTGATAATATTTTAAAAAACACCATTTGCACTGATATAGAACATTCTGAACAAATGCCTCTCTGAAGAGGAAAACCGGTTATATTACGTCTAAAACAGATAATTTAGTAGGAGACATGAGTCTATTTACAACGCTGTGCATGTACTGTATGTTGAATACAGTGACTTCATGCATCTTGCATGTCTTCTCTGTCCTGAATGTCTTTAAATATTAAAGGAGAACTATGGGGTTAAGGCTTTTCCCCATAGTTCTCCTTAGGGTAACGGGAGGACACAAACTAGCGTCCTCCCGTCACCCTAAGATCAGTATACCGCGAGCTGTAGCTCACGGTATACTGAGACGCCGCAGCTGAAGCGGATCCCGACAATTATGTCTGGATCCGCCTAGCTGCGTGAGTGAATGCACTGCGTTACATGCTGACTGCTGCACTGTGTTACATGCTGACTGCTGCACTGCGTTACATGCTGACTGTTGCACTGCGTTACATGCTGACTGCTGCACTGCGTTAGATGCTGACTGCTGCACTGCCTTACATATTGACCGCTGCACTGCCTTACATATTGACCACTGGCCTCTGCACTGCTTTATATACTGACTGCTGCATTGCCTTATATACTGACTGCTGCACTATGTTACATGCTGACTGCTGCACTGCGTTACAAACTGTCTGCTGCACTGCGTTTGCTACGCCGCCCTCACATCTCCCCCTGCTAAGACCCTCCCCACCTATTCTGAGACCTTCCACACCCCTCCTGAGACCCTCTGACCAAGACATCAGGCTGACACCCCCGAGCAGAGCAGCAAAGAGTATGTAGCATTTTAATATACTATTATTCTGCATTGCTGTATAATGTATTGCTGGGATTTATAGTCCTCTATAGCTGATGGTATTTTGCATTGTTGTATAATGTGCTGAAATTTGTAGTCCCTCTACAGCTTGGAGTCAGTCGCAGAACTAAAAGGGGCACAGCGGTCGTGTCGTGCAGAGAACTGACAAATTATCCCTCCACTACCAATGTGCTATAATTCTCCTCAACCCATCTTCACTTCACTTCCAGGTGTGCATGAAGAAAGGGGGTCATGTAAACATCTGATTCGGATGACGCAGCCCCACCGTAATTGACGTGGTCGAGAAAATGTATAGGGTTGAGATAAATTATGGAACACTGACTTTGACACTGTCCAGCTCCTCCCACTATCCTCTCGGAGCTCACAGACCAAAAGTCCAGCGGCCTACAGCGGGTGAGAGTGCCTAAGTACCGGCCATGGAGCGGAGTTAGGCCAGAACCATGTAGGGAGCCCAGTGGAGGAAAGCACCATCCCCCAACCAGTCACCCCTTTCATGGACTGACTAGTGAGTCTTCACATCACCCGACCATTCACACTACCATAACATGGATGGCAAAAGTGGCAAGTGGGGGCGGGGGAAGAGGCAGAGCGGGAGGGGGGCCAAGTCGCTGCACCATGGGCCTCTGGGTTGTACTTGCCCCCTGGGCTAAAAGTTGCGAGTCAGTCCCTGCGGTGCGATCAAAATAGTGCTTGCAGCATTTTGATCGCACCGGACCGGACTGCAGGCACAATGTGCCTTGCGATCCCGTGCGGGCGATCGAATTGCGGCCGGAGGGCGTGGCTACGGTGCCATTCACTTCAATGGTCCTCCATGTGATGCAGTGCGTTCCGGCCAGAATCGGACCGGAACGCACTGCATATGGTGTCAACTAACCCTGATACCTATGAAAAAATGTGCCAGCTTAATTGTCAATCCAACTTCATTTTATCTTAATGTTCTGTTAACAATCTATACAAGCCCTTTTCCCCCCCATGTGCATAACAATGTACTGTCAAAAGGGGAGCAAAGGGGTTAAAATACTTTAACAGCTCTTGCGTCTGATTGGATGCAGTTGCTGTTCAACCCGACAACTTTCCGTCTGGCTCTTTCAATTTGTCAATCAAGGGATGTCGGGCGGGAAGTGGCAGACAGGGCCATCCACTCAGTGACTTTTAACTGGTTCATGAAGAACCGCCTGATATTTGCTTAGGGTGCTCCCCAACACAGCACAGACAGCAGTAAAAGCCTAACAAAAGTTTTAACCTTTTCCTATTCTATCGCAACATGAAAAATGTCTTAAAGCCCATTTCCACCTTTGCAGAGGTATTTTTTTTAAAACATGCCATTATTGTACACCGAGTGTACATGAAGCAGGCATATGCAGTTGCTGTATATAAACATAGAAACTTACATTCTGTATTAGCATTCCTCTTCATATGCTCATAGAAATGGCCACCTCTGTGCTCAGCAATTGAGCTCTCTCTGAGCTCTGAGCTCCCTATTCATAAGTATTCATAGTGGCAACCCCCCCCCCGGACAGTATATTGTGTGCAAAGGCAGAGCTGGTGTTTACTGATCGTGTTAAAATGAATAACAAGGAGGGGGAGAGTTGTTTACAGCCTGCTTTACATCAGACCCCGGTGACAGACTTTCCTGTGGAGAAAACTTTGAATTTCTAGCATTTAAGCCTAATAAAACATTCATAAAAATGAAGAAAGCCTGCCATGTAAGTCATGAAAATGTGCACATGTATACATCATCACTGCACCTCTACATTACCACAATCAATGCTAATCACTTACAAAGGTGGAAATGGACTTTAAGTTCTATTTTAATACCACACACATCAGAAATTGGCAGTTTTGCCATTTTTGTATTTGTTAATAACAAAATGGTATATGTTGCAATTCCAAATAAATCTGATTCTCCTATGTCCACAGCACACCTAAAGAAAGTGTGTAGAGGGTGGGGCCTGCTAGGCTCCTCCCACAGCTCTGCTCTCAGCACAGACTATGTGCAGCACAGTGATGATGTCACTGCTACTTTTATGAGGTAGCAAAGACATAATTGGGTTTGCAAAGGCTTTTTTTGACACACAAAGTGGATTTATATCCTTTGTAGCTATTTTGGTATATATTTAAATCAAGTGTAGGCAAACTTTGGCCCTCCAGCTGCTGCGGAAGTACAAATTCCATTAGGCATTGCAAGACTCTGACAGCCACAGACCTGACTCCCAGAGAGGATTTGTAGTTTTTACCACAACTGGAGGGTCGGAGTTTGCATACCCCTGATTTAGATGAATGGCTGGAGTTCACCTTTAACAAGTTCACGCTTTAAAGGGCTAGCATGCTTTATATTTACAGAAAAAACATGGCATATGTTACCAAATGTGATAAGGATGGAACTTACCAACTCCTTTTACTGCACGATGTCTGGTTGAGTAACATCCGTATTTGTGAGTAACATCTTCCAGTTCTGGAACACAAGGCTGAACTTGATATTGAAATCGGCACTCGGTGTTTAGAGGTTTTGGGATTGCTTTTCTGCAGTCAGGTGGAGTGTCATATTTAATTCGATACCCTGTACGTGATAATAGATGCATGTAAATTGTTATGAATGGCAATACACATATATCACAACTTTTAGACAGTTACAAATACGACTGATAATATTTTAAAAAACACCATTTGCACTGATATAGAACATTCTGAACAAATGCCTCTCTGAAGAGGAAAACCGGTTATATTACGTCTAAAACAGATAATTTAGTAGGAGACATGAGTCTATTTACAACGCTGTGCATGTACTGTATGTTGAATACAGTGACTTCATGCATCTTGCATGTCTTCTCTGTCCTGAATGTCTTTAAATATTAAAGGAGAACTATGGGGTTAAGGCTTTTCCCCATAGTTCTCCTTAGGGTAACGGGAGGACACAAACTAGCGTCCTCCCGTCACCCTAAGATCAGTATACCGCGAGCTGTAGCTCACGGTATACTGAGACGCCGCAGCTGAAGCGGATCCCGACAATTATGTCTGGATCCGCCTAGCTGCGTGAGTGACAGCTGGCTCTGCCTATCAGAGCCAGCTGTACACGTCCCCTCCCCCGTCCGTTCCGCCTGTCAGCGGAACGGAGCGGGGGTAATCCAGCCCCTCCCCTGTCACGGCAGAGAGCCGTGACAGGATCGAGAGGTGAGCGAACGCCGGTATGTGTTCGCTCACTTCCCGATCTACTGAGCCTACCTGTGACAGTCTCATTGTCACAGGTCGGCTAGAACTATGAGGTGAGTGAAAAGCATAGTTCTCCTTTAAGTACAAGAAAACAACAAAAGCACTATTTACAACACATCAAATATAACATTTGATGCCATAGTTGCCAAATCATTCCTTTTAAGTGTATCTCAACCCAAAACCCAAATATGTAATATAATACAGCTTACCAGTCCTTAAAGGATAATTAAAGCCTCGGGTGTTTTTGCATATATCTACTGCTAGCAAGCAGTAGATATATGCAAAACATGTTTTTTTTTAAACGCTTTGAAAAGGGTTAATGCTCCCGTCCAAAAATGTGAAAAATCTCAGGCGGCGGCAAAGCATCTTGGGGCGGGTGCATGCGCAGATCACATTTTCGGCCGGGAAGGCTCCTCTCTATGGAGGAACAATGGAGCCACCCTTGGACAGCAGCATTGTCACCCAGTGGGGAGGGTAGTGTTAGATGGACTAGCAGACTTACATGGACTTGACAAGACAAACTCCAGATAACACTTTTTAAGCCAATGCAGCCACAGCTGTTCTTGGTTTTCCTTTTGGCATAAAAGTTTTACATTAGTGAATAAAAGGTGACCATCATAAGCACCCCTGTCAGTGTTAAATGGTTCTGATGGAGTTTGGTTCTGAAGGAGTTTGAGCTGTCAGAGCTGTAAGATAGGCAGTCCAGTCACTAGGGAGCATCAAGAAGCATATGTTACTTGAAAAATGTACAGGTCTAAGTTTAGACACACATATTGCAATCTAATTGCACAATCTAATGACACAAAAAACTATACATATAACTATATAACTGGCTATGAAATCCAATTTCTGTTTAAAGAGGAAATCCTCTTTAATCAAAATCAATCCCCTCTGGGTGACCAATGTACTGTACATTGCAAGGATTTTAACAAACTTTGCTGCAGATTCCTACCTTTTCTGTTCTGAAAATATAAGTTTGTTCCAGCGTGTCCTTTCCAGACTGATTCCTGAATGTGAGGGTGTGTGTTAGTTATAACCATCACAGTAACACTTTCTGTGATGTATTGAGGAAAGTTGTAGTGCCAGCATCCCTTTAGTAGTATTTAACCCCTGGAAAGTGTCTCACCATTGTCATCAAAAATGCAATTCGTATGGCAAGGGATGGCTAAAATTTTACTTGTATCTTATTGCAGATGTCTGTCATAATTAGCCAATCACAAAAACAGGAAATTACATTTCTGGGGCGTTCCGTGCGCCAGCTATGTATAAAACACCTCCAGGTCACCATATGGCATTTCATTTTTTGACAGTTTTAGAAAATTACAGTGGCGGCAGTTTTAAATGGAAAGGTAACTTTTAATAACATTAAATTACAAAATGGCTCATGTAGCAATTCTATCTATGCAATTATAATTATATAAAATTGCTAATTATAAATTAGCTATTATATATATGATATATGATATATTCTTTATTATGTTTTTTCCATTTTATGATACATTGTCATTATTTTTTTAAAGTTCTCTTGAAGTAGGCCTACTTTTTAAGTAGGCCTTCGGACTACAGAGTTGCTGGTAAACCTAAAGGAGGTTGTACAAAAATTGTTCAGATTGTAACTTCTGTGGTCACCTTTCAGAAGTGCAGGGATCCTGTTTAACAAAATTCACCAGAAGCCTGAAGTGGTTATCTCTGGCAGTATTTCAAAATTCTGCATATGACTGTTGGGGAGACTAAGGCCCCGTTCACACCTTTCCGTTTTGTCGGGCGTTCAACGCTCTATGAACGCTCTACAAAACGTACAACCATGAAAATCCCATTGTTTTCTATGGGTATGGTTCACACCTTTCCGTATTTCCGCCCGTCTGAACGCCCTACAAAACGGCTGACGCCCAAACAAGTACATGTACTTCTTTGGGCCGTTTTGGAGGGCGTTTTCCATTGGGATACAGCCAAGTAGCCTTCGGAATCGCGCGACGGTCGCGTGATTTTTTACCGCGGATCGCGGTAAAAAAACCACGTGACGGTCGTGCGACAGACGTGCATGCGTAATACGCCTAGGTGTGAACCCAGCCTTATAATTTCAGACTTGACCACATGCTCCTGACAGTTAGAGGCATGGGACGTCACAAAATGTGTTTTTTGTTGTTTTTGTTTTATGGAAATGGTGTTGTGAAATATTGTCATTTGAGAAGCAAATGGTGCATGATGGAATACTCCAACAATAAAATAACATCTGCATTGTTCATTGTGAAATGCTGCCAAATGCTGTCAGAAATTGAATTGATTTAATGAAACAGGTTATGCAGGTATAGTATTGCATAACATTTCTCACCTGGAAATAGAGAATAATAACTGTCCCATACCGCAATGCATACATTTAGGCTATATACACTCTTCTTTGACAGAACTACAGAGCCATGCTATTGAAAACATGCAATCATTTATTCTTGAACTGACAAATACAGCTAGGAAATCACTCATTTGAGTTTCACCTTATGACAGCCCATTGTTTAACACTGCTGAAGGCAATTCATTAGGCAATATTAGGGGTGTGCTGGCAGCTTTAAAGATGAACTAGTATTCCTTATGGATTATTATGATATCTCATAACTGATAATAGCTGAAAGAATTGGCTAAACTCTACAGGGAGCCAAAACTATATTTCTATTTTGAACAAAATACATTTAGAGTAGACTTTCATTGTCTGTACCTTGAGTATAGGTACAGATCTCCAATAGGTAACAGACCTGTAGCCATCCAGTTGAAAATGTTGTATGATTGTAAGTAAACCATTCAAACAAGTAATGTAAGTTCCATTAACCCACAGTCCTGTCTTTTTTCTACTTTGCCCTGATCCCAGTGCAATGGTGGCTTTAACTCACTTCCTGTTCCATTATAGCTGTTCTGCCCACAGATGACATTTGGCAGATAATCCCGTGCATGCCATTTAGTATGAGACGGTCCACTATTGTCGCCTTTCTTTTTGGGTAGGTTGCAGACTTTGCATGAGAAGATAAACACACCATTCAGAAATAGTCTATATGTCATCTAAAAAGAGCCCAGGATTTAGAATGATCGACACATGCCTATTGGAAAAAGCAGGGAATCACCAGCACTTTTGAGTGCTGGTGATTCCCTGCTTTTTCTGTGTCTGCACGGCGCCATCCGTGAACCAATATCACTGCGAGCACCATCCTTTCTTGCCTGGCCGGGACTGTTGTGAGGTGTGCGGAGGGGTCCCCCAACGACCTACACATGCCTATTGGAAACACAATCTAAGATAAAAGTGTAACGTTCACCCTCTGGCACTGGGTGTAAGATGGTATTATTAGGATGCAAACACACTTGCATCTTCCTGCAATGCAGAGCCTCCATTTATGTTCCTGTGCAGAGTCTTTTACTCAAAATCGTACCTTGTGGTATTCCTAGATAGTCCCTTTTATATGTGGAGAGATATTGGGATGCCATTACTCTCTGCACCTCTGCAATAGATAGAGGCTTAATACAAGAAGAGCGGCTGTCTTCTGTCATCTTTTTCTCTTGATGAGGTAACCGCCAGGCTGCAAAAGTCTGCAGATAAAAAGAATTTACTAAAGGTTGTTAATAGCCAGAAGGTATAACATTGTACAATGTCTTTAACATAATGACCTTCAGAAAGCATTCTGTATTGTTTGTCTTCAGATGTTGTTATCTGCTTTCAGGGGCACATCATCCATATACTAATCCTCAGAGATAAGATTACAATATTAGAAGCCACATACAAAACAGGCGGCTTCTCTTCTATCTTAAGTACAATGCTAATTCCAGCACGGGTTAGGGTTAGAGTGGCCATATGACTGGATGACCTGGCTCCTCTCATTCTTAAATGTGCCTACAAACAGACTGTTGAGTATGGCATTGGCTTTCCACATAGGTGCCCAAACTGCACTCTATTTATGGGAGACAGACAGCTTAAAGAAGAACATCAGTTATCTAAAAGGTGAACCCCCACACTGCAAGGGGGCTGGCATTCAGAAGATATGCTCACCTGATCCTCAGTCCTGCATTTGTCAATGCTCTCCACTCTCCCCCTCCTGTGGTATGTCCCTCACCATCCTCATGTCTAATGCAGGTGAATGGACTGCATTAGACGTGATGATGTCAGCAGGGCTTGGACTGCCGAAGCCCGGGAGAGAAGAGTCTGCAGGGACTGGTCTAGCAGCCAGGCGGGATGGAGTATAGGGTGAGTATATTTTCTATTTGAAACCTTAAAACAAAATGAGCAGTTAAGCCTTGCAATGCGGGGGTAGCCCCACTTCAAGGGTTAACCTTTTAGATTTCTGGAGTTCTGCTATAAAATCCATTTATTCGTTCTTTTTTTTCATTGTGTTTGCTATTAACTACAGAGAGATAACCCTTAGATGGATCGGACTCTGTATTTTCCAGTTCTAGCTCTTGGTATTCCAGCCGTTTCAAGTTTTGGGAAGGGCCAGATTATCATTTTTGTTTTGGGTTTCCCCTACTTTGCTGTGCACTTTTTATTCAAATATAGTCTTCTCCAGATTCTACCAACACCTTCACATCTGCTAACGCTGTTCATAACAACCTGGAGATGCATTCATGGATTGGTACAAGGATTAATCTTCAAACATTTCCTGCAAATTAGCATTTAGCTCCCTGGTAATCCTATCATGACTTTAAACAAGCCTTGGTTGGGCCATTACTCAACAAGCTCAATGTACTCTAAGGCAGCGTTTCTCATCCTTTTTACAGTCACAGCACCCTTTAAAAGTATGCAAAATCTCAAGGTACCCCAATTAGAAATGGACAAAATCATGTCCATGGTTTCTGGCTGTGTCCGCCCTCTCTAATCGTGCTGATGGTGTGTGAATCTTGCATTGATTGGCTGTCTGTCAGGTGGGCCCCGCCCCTGTCACGTGGGGCCATATGCCATGACGCTGTGTCCGAGGTAGACTGCTGTGCATTGGAGGGAAGGGGCTGACGTCTTATATCCCGCCCCTCTCCATTCGGCCGGTCCCTCGGCTATCCCACTCCCCGCTGCTTGTGTGCAGCGTTTGGATAGAGCGTGGTCTATTTGATTTGGCCATTGTTGCTTTGTTATCGTGCCCACGTGTGCCGCAGACATGGCGGGAGATTCAAATGTCATCAAACGTATGGCGCTGTGTATTAAGCAGGAGGTGAGTGATTTAGTCTATTATTCATTCAACTATCACCATATACTGCTGCCACTTATTGCTCAACGACTATTGATGAGATGTGGGCGATCAGCTGCATCAGATTGATTGGCTGTGGTTTGAGGTCACATGTTGTTCACCCCCTCTATTTATATGTATCTTAGTTCATAACTTGTTAGCTCTAAGGAAGGTGGAATATCCCCCGAAATGCGTCAGATCGCTAGGTAGCCTCTGTGGGGATCTGCTTTGTATTATCCATCCGGATATAACTATGCGGGTAGTATTTTGTCAATTTTCAATTCTATTTTAATAAAACGGTATTATTCGAGGAAAAGTAAATGTAAAAAAGGATGTGTGACCTCTCCAAAATCCATACTGTACCCTTATCCTAGGGGGCGACCCAATGCAAAAACACAGAAAAGGGTTTCCCTTTTTAAATCAGAGTCTCCCTTTCACATCACAAGTCCCCCTTTACGTCAGGAACCCTCTTCACATTATCACATACGCATTTAAAATGGTTTTCTAAACGCATATATACAGGTGAAACTCGAATAATTAGAATATCGTGCAAAGTTCATTTATTTCACTAATGCAACTTAAAAGGTGAAACTAATATATGAGATAGACTCATTACATGCAAAGCAAGATAGTTCAAGCCGTGATTTGTCATCATTGTGATTATTATGGCGTACAGCTCATGAAAACCCCAAATCCACAACCTCAAAAAAGTAGATTATTACATGCAATCAATAAAACAAGGATTGTACATAGAACAATATCGGACCTCTGAAAAGTACAAGCATGCATATGTACTCAGTACTTGGTTTGGGCCCCTTTTGCAGAACTTACTGCAATTACTTTTGCACGATATTCTAATTATTCGAGTTTCCCCTGTATGCATCTAATAATTTGAATAGATCTATTCACACCTTGCATTTACAAGCAGCAGCTGTCACCCATTCAAGTCAATGATCAGGTGACAGCGGCTGCATGTACACCGCATGTAATGATATGTGATATGAATACATGCGTTTAGGAATAATTCTCCCTGCATGCATCTATCGTGCATCCAGGGATAGTGATTGATTCCTAACCACATGTAATCATATCACATATATCATTACATGCGGTGTGCAGACCTTTACATGCAGCATTACATGATCATTAACTTGAATGGGTGACAGCTACCGCATGTAAACGCCACAATAGGGATTCCTGCGGAAGGAAAATGCAAGTCACTGACGCAGGAATCCCTAATCGCACCTAAACTTACAGGTGTGAATGGGGCCTTATCGTGTGTATATTAGTGTTTGTAATTCTAGTTGTGGGGGGTTGTGCATATTTCTGTGTGTGTGTATTTCTATGTGTGCATATCTCTGTGTGTGAACTATGAAATTTGGTAACAGCCTCCATGGGAGAAAAAAATGTGTCTAGTGGCCCCGCGAGTGAATTGAGTTTGAGACCCCTGTCCTAGATTGTTCACTTCTCCTGCCTTCACCCTTTTGTGAATAACCCTGCAAGTGTTTCCGGTGCAATGCATACCTCCCAGCTTTCTGTAACAGTAGAGTGGGGCATGTTTTAGTGCAAAATGTTCAGGTAGAGGACTCACATTTTGCACATCCTCATCCACACTGATCATTTAATTGTAGACCAAGAGCTGCATATTTACCTATAGACAGGTCTGTATATGAGACATAAAATTGAGAAATTTAAAGTGTATGTAAACTAAATATTAAAGCTATGTAAATATCTCTCTTTTTTCCTTGTGTAGATGTGAAAGTTTTTTTTATTGGTGTAAGTATATGTTTAATACAAACATATACTCTCTCTGAGGCCTTCCTTAAATAGTGACAACAAAATCCTGGCAGCTCCCAATGCCTCAGTAACAATGTCACCCTCCTGTGTGACCTACAAGCAGCTGTGCTTTCATCCAATCTGCTGCAGTCAGTGTTGGTTGACAACCTCCTGTTAGTTGATTGACAACTCCTCTGACCAACTCCTCTGACCATTTACCAGCTGAGAAGGGGACTTTACTGAGCTTTTTTGGACAGCTTGGCTAATAAAGGAAGTTAAAAAAGGACCTACTGGCAGCATCATTAGGTAATAAAACTATGGGTAAGGGGTAACTAAAAAGAATTATGTGGTAATGCTATTGAAAGACTGCATTAGCAGAGAGGTAGACAGAGGAATTTGGTTCCAAAAGAGGGCCTGACACTTTAAAGGAGGGACTCTTGGGATTTATACAGTGTACTGCAAAGCCGACAATACGTAAACTTTAATAGTAACTTCTTGGCCCTAACAGCTTCTTGGCATGTAATCCCCCGGAAGCAGGAATCTGGTATATAAAAAATTACCTTGTCAGGGTGAGGTCGGTGATTTCTGGCTCCTGATGATGTTGCAGCTCTGATAGGTTCTGTTGTGGAATGGGGTTTACACCCAAATTCATCACTATACATGCTTATTCCAATGGGATCACACAAGTAGTAGGGGTTCCTGTAGCTTTTAGAGATCTTAGGGCTGTGAAACAATAATAGGATGAACACAGATATCCTAGACTTTCAAAATGGGTAACAAATGCTACCAGGTACATCTTTTACTTCCAGCACCCAGGACCCTTGTTCTCTGCATGGAAGCAGTAATTTCTATGCAAAGGTCAGCACACACATAGTTACATAGTATTTGGGGTTGGATAAAGACATACGTCCATCAAGTCCAACCCATATAGGTCCACGCATCATCTCATTCTTAGGGATACTGGTATCCCTGGATATTACGGTCCCTCAAGAAATTGTCCAAACGTTTCTTGAACAAATCTACACTCTTGGCTGAAATCACTGCCGATGGCAGTGAGTTCCAGACCTTAACCGCTCTTACTGTAAAGAACCCTCTTCGCCCATTGTGCTGGAATTTTTTCTCCACCAACTTTAGGTGGTCAACACTCCCTTGTTGAGTCAAAGCCTGAGCTCTCCAATCAGAGGGGAGTCTGAGTTTTACTGATTGCAGACTTATATGTCTAACTGATTAGGTGATGTGTCAGACCTTTGCAAAGAGATCATTGCTTCACTACAAAAAGCAAGGATTCCGTTCTACTGGCTACTTTAGAAAGAAAATTAACTGTAAGACATAGCATGCCGTTTGTTTTGATGCACATGAAATGTATTTAGCCAATTTAAATTAGGCTTTTAACTGGCATAGCTGCTAAATGATTCTGATTAACATATCTTAGCATTCAATCTGCAAAGTTTCTTGCCTTACAGTAAAATCCCTAAAGAAGCTGCTGAATTCCTATCTTTTGAGCCAGTGTATTCAATGGCTTATGCAGCCAACTTTCTTTCAGCCCAGTGATGACTTGCCTCTGTACACTGGACCATGAAACCTTTGCCCAAAGCATGCAAGTATGTACAGTATGTCCAACAATGTGCAGGTAGGGCCACCCATGTCTTTTTCTTCTTCTTGGCTAGGGTGGTCTAATCCGCAACAGATTTGTCAATTCACTGTGAAATGTAAATCAACACATATATGCAGTTCTGATGGGTTCTGACCTTCCTCATAGTGGAAGAAAGATAGGAAGTAATCTTCTGTGCAACTGCTTATGCGACCCGCATATCTTCAATCTGCACCATTCAATATCTTAACAGATATCCCCAGCCTCAAAAGTCAGTAGGAGGCCATAGAAAAGCAAAGATAAATGATTTGCCATTTTCCCGGCAGACATATTTCTGCTGATCTTCTACACATGTATGGGGAACGTGGGAGGAATGAATTGTGACTTACCGTACAGCAATAGTTTGTGGGCTGACTTTCTGCGGGTAGTCTCGATTCATTGATGTTTCGTATGGATTCCATAGATTCCCTCCTATATGAACAATAAATAGTTTCCTCTGTGATAAAGATGAAATTCTATAAAGCTGGCCACACATGTAACAAAATGTCCTTCATACAGTGGCAAATCCGGGGTATGGTACACATGGCCCATGCCCTGGGCAACACTTGAAGGGAGGGGAAGCAATGCTCGGTGGGTCAGCAAACTGCCTGGCATTCTACAATCCAACCACAAGCGGCCAGGGGGTTGAACGACGATTACTGCGGGTTGAATGCAGGGAGGCACCAGGTCATTGGTTGGTTGCTAAGATACTGGGCTGTGCAGGCGAGTGGAATGTAATCCTCGCCTAGGCAAGAATCCTAAAAGTGCCGACAGGGGTCTCAAAAAGATATTTGTGGGAGGAAAAAAAATAAAAGTCCAATTATGAGAGACAAGTGGGTTAGGAGGTCGATGAGGTAAAAAGGGTAGTGGGGGAAGGTCCCCTTTAAGGGAATGCAAAATGTTTCTACAGCAGTAATGTTTATTTTTACAATTCTTTTCTTTTTTCTTCGTAGGTAAATAATAAAAATGTTATCTATAAATACGTCATATTTACTCTTTTTAGCCCAGCAGGTGGTTAGTATAAAACTTTCATTCCAGGATTGCAGATAGGTGCTGTGCTGACAATATAGACCAAGGGTAAGCAAACTCTAGCCCTCCAGCTGTGGGAAAACTATAAATCCTATCATACATAGCCTCTGGGAGTCATGCCTGTGGCTGTCAGAGCCTTGCCATACCTAATAGGATTTGTAGTTGCACCACAGTTGGAGGGCTAGATTTGGCTTTCCCCTGATATAGACACACATAAATAAACGAGTCAGGTGATTGAATAATAGGAGGCAAACTCCCCCGTACACCTCTCCAACTAGAGAGACAGTGCCCTCTAGAGCCTTAGTCAAGAACAGTCCAAAAGGCAGGGCTAGTGTTGGGCTTTCTTATTAGACAGCCCAGCATGCACTGCACAAGCTGAGGCATAAATCACCCGGTAATAAATGCATATAAATACAAATTATAATACAATTGATATACAGTTTGTATAAGTTTACATAACACAACTGGCCACAAACCTCTACATTGTAATAGACGTACCGGGTTACGGTCCACCGTCGGGCTCCAACGCCGTCTTGCGCAGGCGCGCCGTGGTAACCCCTCACCTCCTAGCAGGGACTCAGTAGTGCGCAGGCACTCCCTGAGACTCCGCCCACCTCATTCGAGCAGTCGGCTTAAAGCCGCTGCTCACTGATTGATCGGCGTCCTACTGTTGATTGTAGCAGGACACTGATCAATCAGTGTCTGCCTTGCTGCCCTTCAGGATCATCAGCCACAAGCAGGTCGTCGGATCCAAGAGTCTCAGGGCTCTACCATTGACCACCAAACAAACCGCAAGTAGAGGCTTATGCCTCCTGGCTACCAGGACACTACTATAGTGCTGTTGTGCTGAACTTCATTACCTGCTAGCTAAACTCCTTGCTGTTGCTCACAGCCATTAACTCTGTGTGATACTGCTGTTGTGCTGAACTTCATACACCTGCTAGCTAAACTCCTAGCTGTTGCTCACAGCCATTAATCCTGTGTGCTATTGCTGTTGTGCTGAACTTCATACCCTGCTCTCTAACTACCAGAGGAGTGGCACTTACATTGTTGCCAAGGGGAGTATGATGTTAAGCAGCCCTCGATCCGCCTAACCAAATACAGGGCAACAGAGTTCACAACTGATCCTCATCCATGAAACTCCGCAGTTGCGATCCATTCCCATAGATAGGAGAAGCGAGGCTTTACATACATACACCACTCAATTTACCAGAATTGCATTTAAAGTCTGCAAATAGAATTCTAATGTAAGTCCTGTATTTTTAAGGTGACACTACTGACTGACTCGGCTGTAGATCCTCAAATCATCTCTGAATTGGGGCTGACACTGTCCTTCCTTCTGGAGGGTGGCTACTTTTGTTCCTCATGGTCCCTGTGTGTGTTGTAAAGTAGTCAGCGCTCCAAGCTCGCTCCGGTGATGGACTACAATCTCAATACAAATTAGTAAAGTAAACGTGAGATTGTAGTCTATTACGGGAGCAAGCTTAAAACGGTGGCTACTTTACAACACACACAGGGACCATGGAGAACAAAAGTAGCCCCCCTTCAGAAGGAAGGACAGTGTCAGCACCAATCCAGAGATGATTTGAGGATTCACAGCTGAGTGATACACAAATAAGGTACATTTTTGTTAATAGGTAAAGTCCATTTCCACCCCCCTCTTGAAAAGTCGGGCGCTCGGTCATGGACCGAACGCCCGACAGTATCAGGAGAGAGGAGGGGACCCGGCGGCATACCTTATACCGCCGGGTGACTGTCTCCTCCTCTCTCTGCCGGCGTCCATCACCAAGATGGCCGCCGGCAGGTATCGGAATACGGCCGCGCGTGCGCGATGACGTCTCGGCGGGGTGACACTCGGGACACCGCTCCGGGTATCACCCAGCCTCGGGACGCCACTGTATACATCTGCACATTTTCATGACTCGCATTTTAGGCTTTTCTTATTTTTATTTAATGAAGGTTTTAATAGGCCTGAAGCCTAAAAATTAAACATTTTCTCCACAGGAAAATTAGTCAGACACCAGGGATGGATGGTAATTAGGCTGTAACCAGCTCTCCCCCTCCCTGTTATTCATTGTAGCAGGATCAGTAAACGCCAGCTCTGCCATTGCACACAATACACTGGAGGGGGGACGGGGGCCACTATGAATACTTATGAATGGGGGAGCTCAAACAGAGCTTGCAAAACACAGCAGCATTTCCATAAGAAGATGAAGAGGAAAGCTAACAAAAAATATAAGTTTCTGTTTTTCATATACATCAACTGCATATGCTGGCTTCATGTACACTCAGTGTTCATTGCTGGCATGTTTTTTAAAAATTACCTTTGTAAAGGTGGAAATTGGCTTTAAGGTCCCTGGATGCATTTTTAAGATTTAACTCCTGAGTTTAGTGTCACTTTAAAGACTGCTGTCAGGCTTCTGCCTCCCATGTGACTTACTGACCACAATAAATATAGCGATTTAAAATAAGAAGCTGCTCAAAGCATTTGAATTAAACAACTGAACCCATCTGCTTACAATAGCAGCTACTTCTAAAATATGCAATTCTTAAGAAAACAACAACTTTCTATGCAAGATGCATTTCCCTACATAACCTGACATGCAAAGTAGTAGTAAACACATCAAATCTTAGAACATTTTTGATCATATAGCTGGCAAAAAAGGAAAGTCTTCCATGGTAGGGGTTATGTTATGTGCAGTATATTTGTCACCACTAGGAGGCAGATGGCCATAAAGAACATTACAGATATTTCTATAGTGCCGACAATATATGCAGGGCTTTTACATAGTTACACATTCACATCAGTCCCTGCCCTTAAAGGAGAACTATGGGGACACAAACTAGCATCCTCCCGTCACCCAAAGCTCAGTATACTGTGAGCTACAGCTCGCGGTATACCGAGACGCCGCAGCCAGGACGGATCCCGACATTACTGTCTGGATCCACCCAGCTGCGTGACTGACAGCTGGCTCAGCCTATCTAGAGGCAGAGCCAGCTGTCAGTCACGCAG